ATACTTATTTTCCTGTTAAATAAGTCTGTAGCACATACGAAGCCTTATTACAAGAATCTTATCGAGATGTGCTGCATAATTGTAGCTGGCTGCTACATATTAGATTTTTTAAACGTGCATAATGAATTCCGGAAAGACACATTAGGCTAATTAAGAATAGAATAGTAGAGTTTAAACTACTTTTCGACTTTTATATACATACATAACTCCGTTTTCTAAAAATATGTACGCTTAAATTGTAACACTTGTTTTTTGTTCGTCAAATTACAATGCATGCAATGACTTACTGTCTCTCGATTATTGGCAGAATAGTTACTTGCATACCTAATTTATCTCGTTTGTGAGGGACAAGTGTTACATATGGAAGACACGGTATCGCCGAAAATTAACGTTGCAAAATTTATGCAAATCCTGTTGTGGGCTGTTCCACACAGATATGCAGTTATCCAGAAAATCGACGTACATATGTATGTATTTTCCAAAAGTAACCCGTTTTGTACATTTGCATGTAAATAAAAGTTTGTTACGCATGAAAATTTCTACCCAACAAACTACAGAATAGTCGTGCCATCCAATTAGTCAATCTACCGTTTATTACCACACCACAATTTTATCCGGATACGACCGAAATTTTACCATAATCTGGAATTAGCGTTGAATGAATTTAAATACTTTTTAATATATGCATTCATACAGTAGCAACTACATATATACATAAATTTAAATTGTGCACATTATGCAAGGATATATATTTCCTAAAAAATAATCATGTAAAAATATAATGTAAATTCCAAGTTAATTAACCACACGGAGATAAGAACTTTTTCCCATGAACCATAAAATCTGTGGGCTTCAATGCAAGTTTTGTGTGGGGATCAGGGAATAAATGTTGCTCGCACTGGCCCATAGCTTGCTCGCACCGCTTATGGACGGGTGCGAGCAAGATTTATTCCCTGGTGGGGATACCACCGAGGATCACGAGCTGAAGAGAAGCACGGATAAAGTACTTCGCAAATCGACGACGACCATCATCTCACTTTGCATGCCTCTCGCCATGACATGAATTTCACACAAAACAAGTCTTTCACACAATTTTTTTTATTTCACTACAATTTTTTAGCATTTTCAGGATAAACAAAATGCGTCCGTGCGACATTCTGAAATTAAAACTACTGTGTGGAATTTTTTAGGGTATGTATGTACACACGAAAGAAGATAAGCAAGATGACTGTTGTTTAAAGTATTTTCATTTTACAAAATTTGCCCCAAAATCAGAAAACTTCTATTGTTTTTAAATACTGTATTTTGTCAAAGTTCTTTGAATCAAGAAACTGCGATGGTTATTTATGTGAAACCCTGCTGCACTATTTCGACTAAATATTTTTAAAAAACACGGGACAAAATTTGCTTAAAAAACTGCACTGCACTTAATCCATCATTCTCCCATTTATTCTTTAACTGATAACACCGCAGATATCGTATAATTCAAAATTGCATACTGGTACCTCAACTTTGTCGAGTTTTTCAAAAAATAAAAGTTAAACTCTAACACGGCACAATACACCCTTAAAATTCTGGTCGCCTTCACCCTTCTCACCAAATATTTCGCATCCCCACAAAAGCACAAGGACCGCCTCCACTTCCGGTGCAGATTAACCTCATCTTCATACACATTAATTAAGATTGGTAGAAAAATCTCATGACTCAACGGGAGCAGGATGCATGCAACGGGAAAAATGACGTAAAGTCGGAACGGAATTGTGTTATACATCATAATCGTCATATAATTTAATGGGACAGAAATAAGTCCTGAAAACTGCAAAAGTGCGACCATCGAATGTAACACGTCGGACGACCATTGCAACAATATTTGAATTATGGCGTGATTATGCAGGGTTTCACGGGCATAACTGTGGATCCAGAATCTGTGCGAAATACGATCCATATTCGCGATATTATCCTGAATTAGAAAGGCTGCTATTGGTCCCCCGGAGATAAATATGGCGAAAAGGCGACACATTTGAAGGAATGCGATCAGTGTTAGCACTGGACGAAGGATGGACATGAAGACAAATTTTAGCAGGGGAAAAGGTGTCCAGTATTTTGTAAGTAATTGTTGAAACTGGAATAGCGGGCCGAGTTCGGAATGTAGGAGAAAACCAGCGAAAATATAGATGCCCAACGTTGTAACGACGGAGATAAGTGCAGATCCCAAAAAATCAAGCTTCATAAGATCTACGATTAATTTGAGTCGGAATTAAATAATTAGGATTTTCAAGTTGAGTCGTCAAAATGTCATAGGTGTGTGTATGGTTTGATTTTTTTTATATAACTCTGAAATTGAAAATAAGCTTCCCCTGCAAGTTAAAATTAGCTAATTTTAAAAAATAAGCAATAATTTTGATACAAAGTTTCGTCCATAGCAATATTTTCGAAGTGCTCAAATAATGGGGACAACTCGCTTCCATATCCAGGTGAAATTTTTATTCTAGACCCTTCACAAAAGTGACATTCCAGACTTCCTTACCACATTTTTTTCGCCGTTTATCCATCTCGATGACACAGTTTATCAATCCAACTAATTTGTATCTCAGTGTCGCAGTTATTAGTTCTGCCAGAAGGAACATCACACTCATCAATGTGACTAAAAGTAACAGCATGACGTGTCCCAGGGGAATGTACAGCAGGCCGAATAATCTGAAAATGGCGAGAACCATGCAAGGTGCAAAAGTGGATAGGAACACGATAACAATTGAACAGAGGTAAGGCCACATTTTAAGTGAGACTCGATTAAACTCAAATTTTCTGTTTTTAGCGTCATACTCGATTGGATTGGTGGGCATAAAGTGGAACAAAATGCTAAAGCGATCCAGCGATCGCCACATTAAAGGGGTGATAATCATGGCGAATAATAATGGTGAATCGAGAAAGGTTTGCAAGATTTGAATACTTTGTTAAAAATGCTTTACTAGGGACTTACATAGGTGTGTTGTCATGTATTTATTGCACTATTCTGACCAGCACGGGCTTCTTCAAAAATAGAATTTAAAGCAATTAAGTACATATACATATGTAGAATTAATTATAATTACTTTTCATGATTTCAGCTTGAATAAATTATTTGCTGGTATGTTGGTTTGATTAAATTTGTTTGAAGCAAATTGCTGACATTACAGTCCAATCAAGCATTTTAAAAAAATCTTGGCAGGGGGGTCGTGCACGTAGTGCGGTAGGAATCTGATGCCAAATCTTAGGGCATCCTACGTTAATTGTTTACAATTGGTCGGCAAAATGAAGCGGGATATTGGCCAAATCTCTCCGAAAGTCGGTCACGTACTTTGTCCATTTTCATGCAAAGGTGTAATAGCCTAAACAAATTGTGATATTCGGAATATCACAAATTATGTAGGCTATTATTATGCCCGGAATATCATATTCCGGTCAGATGTAGACGAATTCGCCGCAGGTATAAATTTACATACGCCCCGGCCCCGGTGACGAAAAATTAGATTTCTTGTCCCTTCAACTCTTGGATTCTGCGCAGCCGAAAAATCATCGAAATTGGCGTCGAAAATTGGTTGGGGTTGACCTCCGACTCCTTTATAATCAGATACCTTAAATATCTGTTTTCCTAACCTGATATTGATCTTATGTGCATAAATACTTCCAGTTTTTACCTTTATGTAAATATGCTTATCTATGCTGACTTCGCTTATCTATGCTGACTATGAATTCATACAATCTAAAGTTTAGATTCTAAATTGGCTACAGCAACACCCAAGAAAATTATTTTGTGCAATTGTGCACAATATGCCTGTGCTGGTTCAAGGAAGACCGGCATGCATGCCGGTAAAAACTTAATTGGCAATTAACCTTTGAATTATGAGTAGCATTTGGAAAATTTTAAAGGAAATATGACCCGTTTTTTAAATAAGAATATCTGTCCTACCTATACGCACAATTATTATAAAAATCACCTTTCGATGTTCCTAAACTTTGCTTGTAATAAATTAGCTTTCTTAAACTTAAGTACATAACGGACACATTGGTCTAACTAGAATAACAGAGTTCAACCAAATTTGTCGACTTTTATATAACTGCGTTTGCTTAAAATAATAAAACCTGTGGCAAATTGCATTTTTCATCAATGCATGGCGAGATTATTAAATAATTATATGGTATGGAATTACCTACTGTATAGATTATAAAATAAATAGGAAGAATTGTTATTTCCTTAGTTAAGTAATATAGCCGAAAATTATGTGTATGTACTGCACCTTTGTACGATTTATTCAAACGCTACTACATAAATATGAAATGAACAACTATTAGTCATTAATATTTTAATTTTAGAGTATTGCATAACGCAAATCGGTATAAGCAAACCGAAAAATTCTACGAGAATCGTAAAAGACGACCCTGGTGAATCATACAGTATGATTCATACTGATAAGTTGTTACCTTCCTATTTACATGTACATATGCATACATACATACATTCAAACAGTCACCAATTATTATGATAACGGTAAGATATTTTGAAATTTTTACCATAAAAGTAGATTATGGCGTAGTATAATTATGTAATAAAAGAAAGAAATTTAAAGAATGAGCACATGGTTAATTTTCAAATTTAAAATTGTAACCTACTCGCCGTGTTAGCCTAGCTTCGATTCTTCTTTGCTCGCTGAGGAACACGGAGCCCAAGAGCTGAAGAGAAGCACGGATAAAGTACTCGACAAAGCGACGACGACCGTCTCACCTCAGATAAATAAATTGTATTATTCATGAAAATGAAAATATGTTTCCTAAAAAAAGACACTAAAATATTTGTACACAGAAATTTTGTAGCATTTTCAGGATATACAAAATGTTTATGGGAAAGTTCATATATATTCTAAAACTATTGTGATAGATATTTGCATAGGAAAGGGAATAAAAAGAGCAATGTCATATTATCTATTTATTTATATTTGTTCTGTAAATACTTTTACTAGGTAAAATTTGCCAAAATTATGTCGATTGTATTCAATTTTTTATGATTTCATTAAATGATAGGGTTTTATGCAATTTCGCAAAGTTTTATGTATATATGAAACAAAGTTTCTTTCAAAAACGAGATTTAGGTTGGATTTTTACTACAGCTCAAAGTCAGCTGCTTGTGATTCGTGTTGTTATTTTTTGTTTATGTACAGCTTAAACTTTCAATTACAATAAAAATTTGCTCTGGTGAATAATTTAAAAAGAACCATTTTTTCCAAAACATCGTTAAAAGTGAAACTTCTTATTGAAATAATTTGCAATTTCGATTAAAGTAAGAAATTAGGTGTAGTCACAAAGTTAATTCACATATTAAGTGACATTTTTTTCGTGGGGTTTACATTTAATTTCATAATTTCAGGTGAATGTGATTCGAAATATGCAACCATTGGGGAAACAATTTTGACAAGATCTAATCAATTCGCTTCGCTCAGTCCTTTGAGGCAACTTTTTTTGTAAAATCCGTAAGTTTAATAAAAACTTTTACAAAATAAAAGGACGCCCTTGATCTGAGTAAGTTTACGAAAATTTGTAAGCTAATTTATCAGCTAATTTGCGAATGCTCCCATTATTTTGTAAATTCTTATGGGATTTGTACCTTGCAGATTTTCCACTATGGCGACATATTCCTGTCTCCTATGCTTATCCATTCTGGACAAAGACGTCCGTCCTCCCCCAGCCGACAAATTTTCAATAAAGGCGCAAATTGTCAGACTGTACGACCTGCTCGTCCCCCAACATCGCACTTCCTCCCCCCATCAAACCATTATTGCACAAATCGAGGATTCCGACGGATTCAAACTGTGTCAGACTTGTTTCTTATCGGCGAAAGAGATTGAAAAGATAAAGCAACAGTTATCCCAACTGGAAGACGAGATTGCCAGAAAATTGGAAGGATTGAGGAAAACGGTGTCAAATTCTTTCCTAAAAGATGAAAAGATTGGGGAGAGCTTGCAAAAAATTCGAAAATCGTTACTTTCCTCTACAGGTTTCTATTAAATAATTAGCAAGCCAATTCACGCAGGCCTTGGTGACTTTGTAAAATCCGTAAATTATCTAAACTTACAAAGTTTTACGAAATTTTACAAATATTTCTGAGCAAATTTAGCTTATGTACCAATTTTGTAAACTTTCTCTGCGTTTCTTTATTTTGCAAAAGTTTGTAGAATTATTTTACTAAATTTACGGATTTTACAAAGTTATTAAAGATTGCTTGAATTGCCGCAGTGATTTGTAGAATAATTGCATTGTTTTTTATTTCTTTAAAGACCAAGAAACTGACCAGATTCTCCCCGACTTTAAAGTCAAACAAGAACCGGAAGATGATTCCTTTTTAATTAACAATTATGACGAACAATTCCTCCCAATTCAGGATGATATTCCCTGTCCATCCCCAACCCCCTCTAATCAATCAGATGATAAGGACGACCCACTTTTCCGTTTAGATGAAGCTGGCAACATAAGCGACTCAGCAGACGATGATGATTCCACCAGCAGTGAGGGCGAGAGCGACGAGTCTGATTTCTATATAACACCAGATAACGCTAAAAAAGCCAAGTATGACAGGTTTCATGCTTTTAGAAATGTAGGACTCGATGACTCGTCACCAAAATTCGTCAAATTTAACGTCAAAATTCGTCCAAATTCTGGACGACAATTTTGTACAAAGTCAATTTCGAACAAGTCGTTGTCAATAAAAAACAACTATCAGAAAAATTGTAAATCATCGAAACTGGAAAGTAAGTTTTTTTAAAATTAAGGTAACCCAGTTTCGATGATTTGCAATTTGTCTGATAGTTGTTTTTTATTGACAACGACCTGTTCTACAAAATTGTCGTCCAGAATTTGAAAATAAATTCCCAGGCCGAAGAACTGGTTAAAAATGTGTTAATTTTAACAATTTTGGCGACGAATCTTCGAGTCCATCGAATCGTTAAAGTTAAGATTAAGAAATTATAATTTGTAGAAATAAATCCTCTAGAAAACAACCAACCAAAAGTACAGTCAAATCCGACCCTGACGACAAATCGTCTCCCCCTCCGAAAAAGAAACGTATCAGAATCAGAAAATATGTCCCCAAACCCAAGAAATTTAACGAATCCAGCTACAAATTCTCTTGTGGAGCGTGCCTTTCCAAATTTCGACGGGAGAAACACCTCCGCATCCATTTGCGCCAAGAACACCCAGGTTTTTGCCAATTCCAGTGTCAAATCTGCCAAAACAAGTACGAAACTCAGGGGCTTTTGGACGCCCACATGATCGTGCGACACGAAACTGAGGAGAAATCTTTTTTCTGTACGAAACCCGAATGTCGGAAGGGTTTCACACTGGAGGTCAACTTTGTGAGTCACATGGAGCGACATAAGCTCGAAAAAAGCAAACCCATCGTGTGTACCATTTGTGACGCCAGATTTGCAAATCAGACGTACTTAGAAAAACATAATCCGGTGCATATGACGTGGATTTGTAATTTTTGCGGGATTACGCTCGCAGCAAAAAAATCGTGGCAAAGGTACAAAATAATTTAGAATTTGTTAGGAATTAGGAAAGTTACGAGATTTCAAATTCAAGAAAATTGTAAAATATTTTAATAATTTTATGGATTTACACGATTAATGAGTAATTGAGTAATCGAACATTTCTATCTAACCCAGTAAATTCTGGAAAATTCATGAACTTGTTAATCAAAGTTTCCACAATTTTACAAAAAAAGTCTAAAAAAAAATCTCACAATTCCAAAAAAAATCTGTTACTTTTATTGTATTAGAATAATCGTATACAACTTTTTGCAATTTACTTTGTTGAAAAACCCCGATCTAATATTTGTTTACCGTACTCCCCAGACACGTGCGTACCCACACGGGCGAAAAACCGGTGAAATGTGACCAATGCGAGGAGTCATTTATCGACAAAGCTACCAAAAACGAGCACATGATTCGCCACCACACTTCCGAACAGCACAACTGCTCCGTTTGTGGGAAGGGATTTCCGCTCAAGAGATCGTTAGTCCTCCACGTTCGGAAGGTGCACGAAAACCAGAAAAGCTACGAATGTTCCACATGTGGGGAAAAATTTAAAACGGGGGCATCTCTAAAAGCACACAACATCCGTGACCACAATGCCGAGCCGATAGTTTGTGACGAGTGGTGAATATTATAATTTTCAAAATTTGTTTTGTTAAAAAAATCTGATTGTTTGTGCTAATTTTTTAATTGTTTCTCTTCAGCGGTGCCACTTTTACGGGACTAAGTGGACTCAGAATGCACAAAATTGTTCACAGCGGGATAAGAAAGCACGAATGTCATGTAAATAATTATCTAAATTTGTGTACACTCTTAGAAATCCGGTATTAAAACAACACTAAGCGGTATTCATATATGTATTTTTGACTCTAGCAAAGTGTTATTCATGAGTAATTCCGTGTAGCAATGGCTCGGTATTAAAGTTTTACCATATCGGTAGCAAATTTTTACGGGTTGGTAAGGTAAAATTTTAATACCAAGCGGTAGCAACTTTAATACCGAGAAATCAATACCTGCCTGACTATGCCAGGTTTCTAATAGTGTACTGATTATTTATTTCCTGAATGCATTTCAATCTAACGCTTTTCTTTCATTTTGCAGATTTGTGGGACCCGATTTTTTAACGGTAAAGGCTTAAAAACCCACCTAACATCCCACTCGGACGTTAGAAACCATATCTGCCACACTTGCGGGGCAGGATTCAAGACTAAAATTAATTTAGATCGTCACCTAACCAAAGTGCATAAACTAACATTGGAGAAAATGCGAACCGTTGGAGGACTAAAAAGACCGAGGGCAAAGACAAATCAAACCGGACGTCGTAAGGTTATGCCGACCGAGAACGAAATGATGAATGTTGCTAGATCGAGCAATTTCAATTTTACAATGTTATAAATTAAGCACATGTTTATCCTAAAATTATGTAAATGAGTAAGTAGTATGTATTTAGTAGCCGTTAGTAATAGGTGTACATATGTATGTACTTCACTTTATGTATTCTAATTTTTTCAAGCAAATCCGTGAAATTCCAGCCACGGAGTTTTATACGTAAATAGTTTTTTTGCTAATAAACTAGACGAATTTAATTAGAGATTTGTAGTATGTGCATAAATATGCATTGTATTTTTTTCGGGCATGCATCGTATAATTGGCAAGTTTATCCCATATGTATTTTATGTAAGTAATTTTATACAAAATTTATATGCATGTAATCTTTGATAAATGCTTAACTTCGGGAATTTATTATTAATGTTTTATATGTTACGAGTCTTGAGTTCAGCATACTTCGTGCATTTGTATAAGAAAAAAAATATATGCATGCAAATATGCATTTACAGGTATGTATATATTCACGTGTACATACATGCATAAATATATACATAAATTCTAGCCATTCCCTACTCTCTTTTAATGATTAAAATCATGAGCATTTACGTCTTCACCAATTAGATATTCATTCATTCAGTTCAGGGTACCTAATCCTAAGTGGTATGTATGTTTATCTGGCTGAATTTCAGGTACACACTCGAAACGGATTTCACGGCATGTTTTTAGTACCGATTTAGTGCAGATCGAGTGCAGATTTTCCAGCGCAGAGTCCAACGGGCAGAACAGATGCACGGATCATGTACTTCGCAAAGGGAGGACGACCGTCTCACTTCATACATACGTATGTATCTTCATATGCTCACCGTACATTTTTCATGAAAATATTTAAAACAAAAACAAAACTATAATTATGTAACGTTTTTTATTCGTAACGGCACAAAAATCTGCATATTTGCTTGTATGTAGAAACGTTGTACATACATAATATGTACGTTGTCCTATTATTCTATTCATAAAAAATGTGTGCAAATTTTTTTACAAACAAAACAATTTCAGATTAACCTTCTTACTTATTCTCCACCTTTTTTAAATTAAAATTAGGTTTGGAACTTTTGCAAACCGAATTTACTCTATCATGCATTTTTCATGTTAAATACTTAACTACATAATTAAGAATGTATTTATGTACATATGCACATATGCACAGATAAATCAGAGTGGGGTGGGATTGATTGTAATGTAATTGTATAGTTTGCTTTTGTTACAGAATGCATGCAGTTTATTTTAAGTGTCTGCCATTTCATAATGATTGATTTGATATGTATTTATAGATACAATATGAATAAAAACAATGGTTATGCATTTTATTTTATTGTATGATTTATTTTCAAAAAAACTTACTAACTTTTCAGGTGTGTATAAAGTTTGAAAAAAACAATATTGATTTGTTGTAGTGCATCTATTTTATTTCTTGGTGGTGTAATTTCAACCCGCTAAAATCTCTACATATGTATATAAGCATGCAAAATAGCTATGCAATTTCCTTCTTAATTCGACACAGGTACAAATATTTTAGCACATGGAACCAGGAATCCTGACTCAGGATTTCACTGGGAGTTTTCAGTGTAGGTTTTGCTCAGCAACTTACTTACTCGATCCAGGGTAGCGCAAAGTTCAACGAGTAGAAGAGAAACACGGACAAAGTAATGCACAGATCGACCATTATTGTCTCATATTCTTAAACAAGCTTTAAAATGCGTATGTATTAAAAGTTAGTAACGTGCATAAGGTATAATAATATTCCACCAATTATTCAGTGATTGGTTTCATGTAAAATAAAAATAAATCAACTTGGTCATCAAAGTCTACATTTACATATATGCAACTCAATACTTCGTATTTTAATTAAAAATTTACCGATTTTGTATGATTTTTCGTTAATTTCTAGAAACCAGGTTTCAATGCATAAGCTATTATTTGTTTGTTTCCGAGTGGTAAATTTTAATTCAAACATATTTCATTTACTATACGGTAATGTCCGTTGTTACCACACCCGTGAAGTCATTTATGAATGCACTCCGGTCGGTGATGATTCAATACCACTTCGCTATTTGTGCATACATATGTACATAAATAAGTTCTTGAATAATGCATAACATTGCATACATGCAAGTATTTACTTTTCAATCGTAAGAAGTATTTACACATAATAAAATGGCATGCTTTACCAAATAAGTAATAATTCAATTGTTGTTAAAAATTACTTCTGTGCATTCATATAATTTTGCACATTCAGCATTACACTTACGGACTTTACGGCTTGGTAATAAATTCATTATTAAGTGCACAATGTGCAGTATTTTCAACTTATGTATAACTTTATTATCTAGTTCACCTTTGCATTTTTAGATTAGGTACATTTGTTAACCACCACATGGCAACTACATACATAAGAAGATAAATGAACACAGCCATGCAGTAGTGATATTCATGCAAAAAATATCGCATATGTGCATAAATTCCAGCACGTACATATTTTTGCACACGAAGAATTACCACTTGTACATACGTATTTCACTCACGGCATGTTTTTGTTTTAAGTGTCGATTTTGTGAATAGATAACTTGATGTGGGGTAGCTCAGAGACCAATGGGCAGAACTGAAGCACGGATGAAATACTGGGCAAATCGACGACGAAAACGTCTCATGGTTATTTAGCTCAACATAAATTTAATGCATCAAGCCAATAATACAGGCACATGAAAATATATTTTTACTCACATGGTATTAAAATAATACCAAGCGGTGTTCATACATATTTATGTATATGACTTTAGAAAAGTGGTACTGAGAAGTAACACAGCGCAGTAACAGCTCAGTACAATTTTGCAGTATCTGAATTTTTACGGACCGATATAATTTTAATACCAAACAATAAAATTTTTTAAATATATTGAGAAATAAATACCCAATGTGAATGTGATTGTACCAGATTTCTAATAGTGTATGTGAAAAAGATAACCTTTTAGATATTTATAAATATACTAAAATATGGTCACATTTACATACATACTTGCCATAATTCTTCCTAAAACTGTAACATGATTTACATGATTGATTTTTATTTAAATCGAAAATTAATTTTACTCGATGTTTGTTGAATGGGTAAAAATAAAAAAATTCACGTATGGAAAAAAAGTTACTTGGACGAATAATTACTTCCTTTCTTCCGACAACTGCTAATCACTTCCACAACCATTAGAATAACCCCCAAAGCTATAAAAGCACCGCATATTTCAAACAACTGACCAACCCTCTCATTCAACCCCATCGCCGCCCATTTCCCCTTGATAAGCCCCATCCTCAGGGACTTTCCATATTGAAATTTCATATTCCTATACGTATCCATATAATTTTGCCCCTCCCGCCAAAATTCAACTAACCCCGCTTCTCTCGCCATCTCCAGAAATCTCACAATCTCTTCATACCCATGCCCCTGAACATACGAAGAGTATACCCTATCGAAAAATTTATTTTTCAAAATATGACAAAATTTCCCAGAAACAACCCTACCATACTCAATCTCAACATACCCCCTACCCCTCTTAGACACATCCGTGGCGACCTTATTCCCCGGGTTTTTAAAAGTTTCGAACTTATCGGAAATCGCGGGCCCATACTTTATCGGCAGGTCGAACCCTTTAATCCGCTCGTCGACTAGATGCGACAAATTATAAGTGGCGAAACCGCTCCGAAATTCGTTCAAGTTTGCGTGGCCCTTCATCTCGGCGGGATTTTCGGTCGGCCAAAACATTCGGTATCCCCTCGAAACGAAGAGCTCCTTAAGGTCGGCGATGTGCGGGGATGGTTTCACCGTGATATCGGTGGTTATCATGGATTCGTACAAGTTGGTGAGAAAAAACGCGAGAAATGCGAGATTTAAATGAACTCGAATATTGAATTCTCGGGTCGCAGATTGCCTCAGAGTTAGCGCTATGATGTTGAAGAAATTGGCGGCAAATTTAAAAATTTTACCAGACCGAAATAAAATCCATCCCGACATTAAACTGGTTATCAGGGTGCACAGCAAGTAAGGCAGTCAGACTGAGAGGCTAAATGGTGCGAGCCAATATGTAAATGAGCCAATTTCAAAGGTCCGTTCCTTTTCGCAGTAGAGCAGGAAATACCCCTGGTACGGATGGATGAAAGGGGCCGAATTCTTGGTGACCTTTTTGTACTGGATGATAAAAGAAGTTTGGGTAAGATAAGTGGTAATATTTGGGGAGGTTTTGTCCCCTTGGAGATAAGATATGATCTCGTGATCGGTGCTTATCATGGATAAGATGAAATTGAAGTGGGCTTGTGCCGTGGAGTAGAAGCGGAACGACCAGCCGCAGTTCTTGAAGCGGAATTGGGACTCGCAAAGCTCGTGGGAATATCCTTGCGCGCCGATGGGAGCTCCTTGAAAATTGACGCGGGAATTTTGATTTTTGGAAATTTTGTCGATTTTTAAGAATGGTTCGGGACAAAAGTAGCAGAGCTGGAATTTTTCTTGAAACGAGGCGGTGAGAATGTCGTAATTCGAAAGGAAATAAATGTTTGCGTTAAAGTTGAAAAATTGAAGCATTTTTTCATATGTGAATTTCCATTCTGATTTTTTCGAGTAAAATAAGAAACTACATATGTTGGGTTTAAAAGATGATTCAGTTTTTCCTAAGAAATTAAAAATATCAGTTAGATTTTGTAAGAAAATGTGATACGTTTCCTGAAATGATGAATATCGGACAACTTTACGAATTGGACTAAACTTATTTTCAGAGAGATTTGAGAAACTTATGGTCGGGTGAGAACGGTCAATTTGTAGGATATCAATTTGGGAACTGTTAAAATTATGAGTGATCGAAAGTGGGTTAGCTAATGTAAAAGTTCCTAAAAATATGGTATAATGGGTGAAAACTGATAAAAACATTTTTATGTATTTTTAAGTGTTTAAGAAAGCTATGTATGTACATATGTGGACGTAAAAAATAAATATGAATATTGTATGTAGATAGATATGCATGCAAATGGAGAAAGTGCTCACGATTAACACGATCACGATTTGATTTAAACCTTTATTCACGTGTTAATAGTTATCAGTTTACAAAACTGGTTTAAAAACTATGACACAAGTAGATAAAACTATATATTTAACCTAAAAAATATCTAATGGACTCAATAACAATATTGGTCGTCACGTGCATTAATGATATGTTCACGGAC